AGCAGCGGCCCCCTTGGCTCCGGCTGTCCCGAGCGCGGGGCCATCGCGGCGGCCCCCGCATCCAGCGCCTGGGCCACCGCGCTCACCAGTGAGTTCTGAGCGCTTTGGGGGCGGGTAGGGGGCGGGCGGGGCAAGTCCTTGACCTGGAGAGGCTGGCAGTCGCGGTGGTTCCCGTCCGTTGGCTCTAAAATCCCAGGAACCTTCACTTTCCGGGCTGGGGCGAGAGGGGTCAGGCGGGGAGCGGAGCCCCCCGCCCCGGGTGCCCTACTCGCCCTGCGCGCTGGCCTCCGGCTTCCGCGGCCGTTCCGGCTCGGAGCCGAGTGGGCAGGGTTTGCCTCCCCCCTCCCCGCCTCCCGTCCTCCTCCTCCGCCCCCAGCGGAGTCTCCGCGCCCTGCTAGCAGAGAGGCGGGGTGGGAGGCTCCCTCCCGAGAATCTGGGCTTTTGACTGCTGTGCTTTCTCGTCCCCGCTCTCGGGTTCCGGATCTGCTGAGAAGTTTGGCTCTCCCAGGGTCTCACTGGCAGCCTCCTCGTCGACCTCACTTCCCATGTTTAAGCTGGATCCTTCCTCTTCCCTCTCCAGCACGTGCGGGGCGGGGCTGGACCTAGGAGCGCAGGCAGGTGGGTCAGACCAGGGAGCGAGAATTTGGTGGCAGGACGTCAGCATCCTCCCTCCCAGCGCGGGAAGGGATGAGGATGGGCTGAGAAAGTTGCTCTTCCTAATCTAGGAGAAGGCTGTGCCCCCAAAGACTGGAAAAATCCCCAGCCTCGGGCTCCCTCCGCCACGCCCCTGGTTACATTAGGCCTGGCTGGGTCACCACCACTGAGAATCCCTGGGACTAGCGTTTTCTGGACCCCATCACACCCCACCTCTGAAAGTCAGCCACACCCCCTTAGCTCCTCCCGGGCCCCCAACTCACTGGCTGCTGTGCCTGGAGTTCTTTCATCTGGTTTCCCCCGCCAGGCTGGACTCCTCAGCAAAGCACTGTCCCGGGCCTTGGGGTCCGTGGGCGTGGTGATTCAGCTCTTTGCTGCCCCCTCCTCCCCACTTGAGCATCCAGGCAGGCACCCACTAAACTGTTCCACTGGGCATCAGGACCCTGGGGTTGTTGGACACTGTGAACTGCCGCCAGGATACACCTGTGAATGATGAATGTGTGGGAGGTTTGAGGCTCCAGCGGTTGGGAGAACAGGAGCAGATTTTGCAGCATGGAATGGGGGAGGGGGGTTTCAGAGGGGGCCAGGGTTGAGCTGTTGATGGGTTTATTTTGCTCTGGGAATTTTTTAATTTTATTTTTTGGTAGAGCTGGGACGCTCCTGATTTAAAGAAACAGGCTTCTGAGAAGGGAGCACTCCTGGCCTTGGCATGAATTATTCAGGCTGGAGAGGCTGACACTTGATCCTGCAGGCCATTCTGGTATCAGCAGAGCTGGTTGGGATAGAGGCTTCCCCCACCTAAGAATCAGGCCTTCTCTTTCTCCTGAATTAGGGATGGTTGTTGGGTTGACTCCTTCCCTGAGGTTATATTTAACAGATCAATACCACTCAAGGAAAAGAGGCAGACCCTGCGGTGGCTTGAGTCTCCGGCAAGGACCGCTGTTAAGGTCCAGGGCTGTTGATGCTAGGGGGAGTGGGGGAGCTGGCTCTTCCCTCCCCCTTCCCTCTCCCAGGTACTGGCACATGAGAACAGTAACTTGCACATGCATGATTGGACATGTCTGTACATATGTACATGTGAGGTATCCGCATGTGAGTACAACAGACTCATGCTCACTTGAGTGTGCATACACATGCATAAGAAGGTTTGTATAAACTTGTGCAGGCTTCCAGGCTGGCTCAGATGTGCCTCCTGCAAGTACATGAGGGCTCATTCATACATGTGCACATATGAACATAGACTTGAGTGCATCCTGGTATATGTCCATGTATGCAAAAGCACATTCATACTTGAACATTCATACTTCTGGGCCCTTACAGGTTCCTGGGTGTGTTTTGGGAGGGGCAAGCTTACAGATCCATGCTTGCAAGCATGTGCATCCAGACATTGGCCAACACACTCGCAGCCGAGTCCCGCCCTCCACCATGCCCTTGGTCTGTGGAGGTAACCAGCGGTGGTGTCTTTTCTCATATAAGCACAAGTGCTCAGATAGCTGCCCTTGAGGCAGGACCCTGAGCTCTTGGACTCTCCCCAGTCCTGGCTCATGTCAGCTCCAAGCTCCAACTCCGTCATCTCCCTCAGAGGGAGGCACTGGCTTTTCTTCACTATTGTGTACAAGGACTAGCACAAGACTGTAGTGTACAGTAAGTGTTCGTAGATGACTGAATAAATGAATGAATGAATGAATGAATGAAAAAGTCTTCTGCCCGTCCTGCTGCTTACAGCCCCTTTTGCTTCCAGCCTCAAAGCAACTGCCAAGGTAAGAGCCCCTTCCCCAGATCCCTGGTTGGTTCCTGGTTGGCTGATGTGTCCCCCCATCCCCCACCCCCATGAAAGGGCCGCAGGGCAGTAGGTAGCCTTGATTGGGGGGTGCTAAACACCTCAACTGGGGAAAGGAGACCCAAAGAGAACCAAGAACCATTAGGTACCAGAGCACAAGGCGATGGTTGTGTTTTATAAATGGGGAACTGAGGTCAGAGGGCCAGGGACTTGCCCCAAGGCCAGTGGTTGTCAGGGCTTTGCCTGGAAACCTGGCCCCAGGTCCTTGCCCAGGGCTTTGTCCAAGGTACTGGCTGCATCTGAGAGGGTCCAGTGCCACTGGGAAATCTCATCCTGACCCCAGGGAGCTGACGCCGGGAACAGATGCTGGGCTGGAGCTCTCTCTACCTCTGGGCTGTCAGCTTCTACTTCTGGAAAGTAGGTGGGCTTCTGAATTCCTAGCCTTTCTAGTCTTCTCAAAGTTATTGTGATAAAGTGAATGGAAAGTGCTTTGAAACAAAAGCCATATCATCTAGGGCAGCGGTTCTTAACCTGTGAGTCAAGACCCCTTTGGGGGTCTAACAACCCTTTCACAGGGGTCGCCTAAGACCATCGGAAAACACATATATAATTACATATTGTTTTGGTGATTAATCGCTATGCTTTAATTATGTTCAATTTGTAACAATGAAAATACATCCTGCATATCAGATATTTACATTATGATTCATAACAGTAGCAAAATTACAGTTATGAAGTAGCAACGAAAATAATTTTATGGTTGGGGTCACCACAATATGAGGAACTGTATTAAAGGGTCGTGGTATTAGGAAGGTTGAGAATCACTGATCTAGGGTGTGGGGGCCTAGCACCCACTCTGCCAGGCTCTCACCATATGGCTCTAGACACGGCATTGCCCCTTTCTGAGACTAATTTGTTCCCATGTCATTGGCCTTGTTCCATTTTTCTCCCTTCCCAACACAGCAAATTCATGGTAGATGATAAAAGGAGTGAGTTGCCTCTGTCTGCCCCCACTCCCCTCTGTGCATGTGTCCCCTTCTCTGCCAAGTCTGTTCTCTAGAGGAAGAGCCCTGTCCATCTGCGGGCTCACAATAGTGTTCAGCATCTAGTAGGTATTGAATAAATGTGTCCAGTTGCATTCGGGGCCGTGTGTGTATTCCAGTCTGGGAAGTATCTTTGCCCAGACTGTTTGCCCCACCTGCAGTGCTCTCTCCCCCTCACTCTGTTTCTCCAGTCCAGTCTACTGCACCGCAGGGCTCAGCTTGAGTTCTGCTCCCTCCAGGAATTTCTTCTCTCCTTTGAATTTCACTTAATAGTCAGAGGGCTAGAGCTCCCCTGAACCCCCTAATTGTCAGCAACTGGGGCTCAAGACTGGTCTGATTCCCTGTATTGTCAGCACACAGCTTGGAGATCAGCATGGAGAAGGCACTAGGGAACATTATTGAATGAAATAAAGATTTAAAAATCTCTGGCTTGATCATACTGTGAGGCAGGCGAGGTGAGGATCCCCCATCTACCCTTCACACCAGGAGACACCAGCCCAGAAAGGTTAAGTGCTTTCCCCCAAGGTTGCACAGCTGACTAGACAGGAGTCTGACAGGAGCTCAGGTTTCCTGCTCCTCCTTTGCTGCAGCTCTCCCCATCCTAGGCTTTCTCTGGGGAGTGTGACTGGGCCAGATCCCAGGGGAGCCAGTGGACAAAGAGCTCTGGCCCCACCCAAGCAGAGTTATAGTCTGCCCTGTGCTGGGTTGAGAATCCCCCATGTCAGTCAGTCTAGATCCCAGTTCTTGAATTTATTATCCCACCAGGCCCCAGAACCCCTCTCTGAATCGCCCTCCCCTATTCTAGCTCCTTCACTGGGGTCCTATTCACCCCACAAAGGCCCTGCCCTCTGTAAACTCCACTTGCTTGGTAGGAAGCCTGGAGAGGTTTGGCAACTTCCCTGAGGTTACCCGGCAGGTAGCCCTTCCCCATCACCTCCCGCTCTATTTTGTCCGTTGGAGGGTCTGTGGCAAGTCTACCTCTTGGGATCTAAGTTTCCTTATCTGCAGAGAAGGGGTGAGTGTGTGTGTGTGTGTGTGTGTGTGTGTGTGAGAAGGGCCTGGAAGGCTGTTGAGTCCTGTGCCCTTTGGCCTTTTTGGGGATGAGGATCATGGAGGAGGAAGTAACACCATGATTTGCCCGAGTGCCCCCACCTTCTCAATGTGTGGCCTTGAAGTTTCCACCCCAAATAGAATGGTGGTAGGATGGCCTGGGGGTTCTCTTAAGTCTGATGCTGTAGCAGCTTGTCGGGCCCCTTTATCCTGGTGGCCTCCCTTCCCCTCTGTGCCCCCTTCCACTGAGGCAAGTGGAGGAGCAGCCGGCAGGGCTGACATGATGGAGCTCAGTCATTAGGTCACAGCTGGGGGAGGCCCCCGGTTCTCTCCTCTTGTGTAGCCTCTGCACTGGCAGGAGGGGAA